TCACGAACACATTTTAAAGCGTGAACAACAATGAAACTTAAAGACGAGGCAATCATAGAGTTATTTCATATCATGTTGCACAAATCAAACGAATGCATGTATGGTATATTGTACGATTTTGTAAGAAGGCTCATGTGATGTGATGCATGGCTGAGGTATGCAGGTGGCTGTCACAATGCTTAACGTTCAAATAAATCAACAGTCGTGTGAATGGCTAGGTAAAAATCTTTACCAGTGAAAATTTTAGTTTCCGTTGTTATGTTTATTATTATAATTATTATGTGTTTTTAGCTGCATGTGTTTGTTGTACTGTTTCAATAGTTGAGTCGATAGATGTTGATTCTTTGTTGTTTAAATTCTTCTCATTAAATGATGGGATGGCGTCTTGTAAGCAACATGTCTGTCGGGCTCAGTGAGTTCAAGTCGAACTTCGCACTGGCCGGGTTCAAAGGTACGTTGGCTTACATTTCAGAAGCAAGATGTTACGACCAGTGTACAACGCCAAATTCAATTTAAAAAAACTCGCAGTACCATGTCCTATGATAAAACATCAAAACCCTGTTCAGTTGAACTTTTAAGAAACCGCAGCTGTTCACGATCACCGCAACAAAATGAAGCAGCTGCCGTTCGTATCTGCGAGCTAAATGGGACCATAGAAAATTAAGAACACGATCGAATTATAAAAGATAAAGCAGTTGTAACAAATGAGTAAGCAAAGTTTATTTTCAAATAATCATGAAGAATGCATTAGTTTAAGTCACAATTGCTTTTGATGTACATTATCTCGCCTACTTCATCTGGGTCCAAACCAAACCATGATGCCTATCTGGCAGTGCCAAGTGAAGAACCAACTCTCTACAATAAAACATTGGAGGCTGCCACCGAGGGTAAGAAACGACAGCTTTCAGCAGTTTGAAATATCTTTTCCGCCTGACGAGCACACAACAGAACATCAACATCAGAATCTCCTCATAAATGTAACAAACATTACTCCATTAGAGACAAGTTCACCTCCATTTTCAGTTGAGTGCACTAGTCTAGCAAACTAGTGACTTCATCTTTGTGACAACATCAAATTAATCAAAATTTTACCTCGAACGTATATACAACACCATTCGTCATTCTCTAACGACACTTCAAACTTCTAGCTCAGCATTGATCGTTTCAATTTTTGAGTTCCCGTTACAGGCAGGAATAGGAAAGTTAGTTACAAATGCGTCCAGAAACACTAAATTGATAAAAAAAACACTGATGATTAAATTTTTTAAAAACAAATTTAAACTCTATAAAATTGAATTATTATTTTGCGGATTTTATTGCAAAAATCGCACCGCACAAATTCGCGCGTCTTTAAAATCGCACCCGTAAAAACGCGGTTTCGTTGCGGTTTCTGTGGTTTAGATGGCAACGTTCGTGGATGCCGGGAGCTCTGATCAGAACAGATGGCACTACGTCCGCATACAAAAATGACTTCATATGTACATCAACCTAGAACATTTGACCAATATTCTCATATTCAACTTCATTATAGACCTTCCTTGCCAGTTTTATTTAGAAAATTAATTAACAAATTAATTATTAAATGAAAACGAAATAGAATGAGAATAGAATGACTTGAAATGAAACAAGAAAATGATGATTGCTTACTTGTAAGGCATTAATACGGCAGTTTTTGCTTCTGCCATTATCATCATTGTCATCTTTGCTGTTTTTCATATCACCACCATCCTCATCATCATCATTATCTTTGCTCACTCCATCTTTATCATCATTATTATAGTGATATCCATCATCATCTTCTTCCTCATCTTCTTCCTCATCACCACCACTACCAGCAGCATGGCGGAGATCACAGCAGCATCTGATTTCTTGTCGCGAGTCGAATTTTTTGCTCCGCTCGAATGTTAGAACCACCTTGCCGACATTTAGCCATGATGATGGCAATGATGATGGTGGTGATGACGACGACGACGACGATGATGATGTAATAAATAATGATGATAGTAATGATGATGGTGAAGATGATGATGGTGGCGGACTGTAGACCAACTCATGTTGAAGACGATTTTCTGTAAAGTCTGAAAAATAACATACCCGTCCTCTATAATGATGACAGTGACGGTGATAAAAATGATAACAATCATTACGATGATGATAGCTATAATGATGGTGATAATTAGAATGATAATTAGATCATTAGAATTAGAATTAGATGGTGACGAAGATGATGACGTCATTCATAATGAGGGTGTTGATAATGATGGTGACGATGATAATAGTAAAACTATAATAAATTGTGTTAGAAAAAACGCTAATGTTGTGTGTTATGACCATGATTAATTGATAATGATGAAGATAATGATGACAATGGTGATAATGATGATGATGATGATAATGATGATGATGGTGTTGATGACGATGAACTCCAACCTTTTATCCGGAAAGACTTTGAATCGCAGCACGCACTACCGTAACAGCAGAACAACTCGCTCCTATTCCATGATTGGTCAGTGAAGTAGATTTGTAAGGTGAGATGTGATTGGTTGGAATGAATCGAATAGATTGATGATGATAATGATGAGGAAAATGGTGATGATGACGATGATGGTGAAAGTGATGATGGCGGTGGTGTACTTTTCAAATCGTCATAAATGAAAGAACAATTTCCAAATTTCCATTTGAAGTAAATTTTGCTGACGTTCACGTGATCCGGAAGTGAATAGCAAGACGGCGGCAATGGAGACGAAGAAAATAACGAAAAAGTTGATGACGTAGTTGATGACGTCATCTGATCGTCTATACTGCACGTGAAGTTTTTCCGCTCTCCAACATGGAGGTATGCATCGTGACCATCCATCTCTGTGTCAGGTGACATGGTTGGTTGTGCGACGATTGATTGACTGATTGGCTTTTGAAATTCAGTGGTTGCTGATTGACTGAGATTGTTTAGTTGATTTTTTGATTGAACGTTTGATTAACTGATTGTATGATTTAAAGTTGGCTGATTGGCAAGTCAACTCGGTGGGATATTTTTGTAAAGTTGAAATCATTTATTATGTCTTCACGTATTTCAAGTTTAAAATGATCATTGAAATTAAAAAACAAAATTCTCCAAATAAAGTAAGCAGTGCGATCTTGCAGGAGAGACCTATCAAAAAATGCCGATGCGAAATAAAAACTTTCAAGAAGTTAAGAAACGACTGAATATTTAGTTAGTTAGCGCGGAAGTACACAAAGCAGTTGAAACGCGCGAAAACAAGGAAGGAGAGACAGGAATCATACTTCGTAGGCCATAAAAATAGTGGAGAGTTCTTCCGACGTGTAACTAAAAATAGTTGATCAAACGCTTAATTCAATCAGAACTATGCTTGCGAAAGTAAAATAAACAAAACCACCCATGGGAAAAAAGAGCACTGTCTATCTGAATATCATTCACTCGATTTTTTTTATATTTTTTAAATCAGGATCTGACAGACGCAGAAACTGTTACAGCATGCAAGGCAGTAGTATAAAATGAAACGAATAAGTAAATAAATAAACGGAGAAAAAATGTTAAAACATGAAAAGTAAAATAAAATAGAATAAAATAAATTATAATAATAATAATAAAAAAATAAATAAAAGAAAATAAAATAAGTTGAACATTAAACTAAATGATGCAGGTGTGAAGGGAAAGCAATGAGCCTACACCGACATCAACAGTGAGTTGAAGGGAACGTCAGAAAAATCAATCAACCATCTTCTCAATCAATCATTAAATCTAAAATTCAAATTCAGTATTTTAAGAGTTTGGCCTGAATGAACTTTAATTACAAATCAACAAGTGTGTCTGGAGTTAGCGAGGCAAGCACATCACTAAAAAAATAAACACTTCATCCTTCAGCTGCTGCATCACGTTTCATCTTGCAATTTCAAGCAGTGGAAATGGATTCGTCTTAGTCAACAAATCATCTACGTACATCAATTGTGCGATCATCATAGCAATCATTCGTCTAACGGTTATAATCATACCAATCATTTGCATGAACACCTCATGACGTGAACAGCAAGGATGTCGTCATCACCATCACCCGCCTCATCATCACCACCATCAATTTAATCATTACTCACATAAATGGTATACGTACAGTAAAAACAATCAGAGAAACCAATTAAACATTATAAGCAAGAAAGTAACGAACAAATTAACCAAAGTTGTAGCAAATTGATGTTCAGATTGAGTGATAGATACGCACGAACCAGGTTTGAAAGCAAGCAAAACTCAAACTTCGTGACTGCTAAATACATATCATAAGTGCTCACACATTCAATTCAGCATGCAATATGAAGCGTGCACGTATTATCGTACGTTGTCATGCATTCTGATGGTTTTGGCATTGTCTTCGAAAGAGCTTCGAACAATGTTTGGATCACGGTTTTGGTGCACTAACAATTGAAACAATTGAAAGCTGTTCAACATTATTGAACTTTCATGTATATTCTTTTCAGAACAGCACAGTTTGAATGTTTAGGGGAATTTCAACGAATCAAATCATCCGTTGTGTTAATGTTAACGCTAAATTTTAGCTCATTTATTTACAAATTTTACATAAACAGCATAACTTTACGTCCCTACATTATCGGACGAGAGGAAGCAACCAATTTGATGCACACGTTCAGGTAGGTCACTCATCGCAAAGAATTAAATTAGTAAAATAAACGCCGAACCACTGGTTGAGAAGAATGAATTTTTCATTTTGCTATTCAAATATGTAAGGATACCATATTTTAAACTTATAAGTCGTTAAGATTCATAAAAAAGCGTTCTCACACGCTTAAGCACATGTTTACAATTCACACATATGCAGTAACATTCTTCAAGTATTTGAGATCATCAACAAATTGGTTGTAAATAAATGTGGAAACGTGGGTTAAGTTAAATATTTTGAAATATATAATGATCCACACTAGCGGCGCAACTAACTAAAAGCTTTTAAATACAGAGTGCATGTGTAAGAATCAGGATGTTGTTGTGACGATACGTAAGGCAACTTTAAGTTCATTCTCATGTTATACTTAATAACACAATGTGCTGAAACGATTTATGCTGCTTAGTAAGCATTCCACATGCCTATAAAAAACATTCTATATTATTATTATTATTATTATTATTATTGTTGTTGTTGTTGTTGTTGTTGTTGCTGTTCACGTAAATCACGGTCTAGGCCGGTTTACAGATGACTTCAGGACCCATCTGAGTCCAAAGGAAATCATCCAAGAAACTTTCTAAAGATGTGCGCTGTTGCAAGCAGAACCACCTTCTGAATTTCTTCTTTTTTCGGCTTCCCATGGATCATTTCAAGATTTTTATTGTCACATTAGTAATAATTCCTAAAGCTCCTACAACCGCGGGTATTACTCTGCATTTAAAGTGCAACATTCGCGAAATTTCGATTTCTAGATCCTTATACTTGCACCTCTTTTCTGCTTCATACGAAATAACATCTGAGTTAGTTGCTATCAAAATGCGTACATGTTCAATCTTAAACTGATAACGGTGATGTCTTGTGGTCTGTCGGCATGAACTTTTCCATCTGTAATTATTTGCGAGTCCAACATTATAACAATTTGCCCGTCCGTCCAGGTTTATATCTTTTGTCGGTTCATTGGCATAATTTTTTCCCCCACCTTCATTTTGTAGTGCTTAGAAATTGACCAATGAATCTCAATGTCATCATTATTATTAAATATTGTACAGTGAGTATACGTGTAACATATATATATATATATATATATATATATATATATATATATATATATATATTTACAATATTTTATAAATTCTACCGAATGTTTGGCGTTAGTATGTTTGATGTTTGTAGTTCGTTTTTTCGATTTTTCTCACTAAAGTTTCATCATAAGATCACTAAAGTTTCATAAGATAGATTCATCAATCTTAGCTACCACATCCTTACAGACAAACAAAAAGTGTTCTTAAACCTGGGATTGATTTGCCATTATCTGAAAAAACCTAACAAAATTGAGAAAATCATTGAGATTGAAAAGCTAATGATGTCTATAAGCGACGCTGAACGTCAAAGTAAATTAAGCGTCAACCCCTCTGTTGCCATTGAGCTTCAAGCTGAAGCCAAGAAAACACGAGGTAGTTTTCAAAGTAAGCTACTCACTGAGGAGATGAAGGATGCGGCAAAGCAACTTAGGGAGAATAAAGATATCGTAATAAGACGCGCAGATAAATCTGCACAATATGTCATTATCGACCGAACCGATTACCATGAAAAACTCAATGATGTTCTCAATGATACAAAAAAGTTCCAAGTAATCAAAAAAGATCCCACTCCTCAACTAAAAACTAAACTAAACACAATAATCAAGAAGATAAGAAAGCACATCACCGATGACAAACTTCCATCACTTATAGGCGAATAATCTCCTGGCTACTTATATGGAAATATAAAAACGCATAAAAAGAATCATCCCATCCGACCAATTATTAGCCAAATTACAACTGTCACCTACCCTGTTGCAAAATTCTTGAACAAAATTTTAACCCCATATATTCCAAACAATTACACACTACAATCTTCCCGTGAGTTTATTAATCTCCTCAGCATTAATAAACCATCCAAATTTATAACAAAGAAGTAATAAAAACTAGCAACGTAAATAGTGACAAAGAAGAATATGATGCTATCGATGAAGGAAAGGAGACCAAAGAAGATGACCAGCCAATTAAGAAACCTGACACCTAATTCGCATCAAAGTTCAATTTTACAACACCAAAGTTAATTTTTACACCGTCAAAGTTCATCTTGACAAAGTCAATATTTCCCTATATATACAGCAAGTAGCACTGATGATGATTCATTCGGAATCGAAATATGGCCTTATTTGCAGCATGAATTCGAAAAGTAAGTTTATTTTGAATTTTAATAAACTAAACGTTCACCAAAAAACTTTAGTGAGAAAAATCGAAAAAACGAACTACAAACATATTAACGCCAAACATTCGGTAGAATTTATAGAATATTGTAAAAATTATGGTCTATTACCAACATATATATATACATATATATATATATATATATATATATATATATATATATATATATATATATATATATATATATATATATATATATATATATATATATATATATATATATATATATATATATATATATATATATATATATGATTGTTAAGTTAGATGTTATTATGATAATATTTGTGGTGGTCGTATTTGTAAAAATATATGTGATTGGTAGATGTATTTTCTGCAGATGTTTGTGTGTGTATGCGAGTGTGAATGTGTGCATGTCTGTGTGTGTGTTTGTATGTGTGTGTGTTTGTTTGTGTGTGTGTGTTTGTATGTGTGTGTTTTTGTGTGCGTGCGTGTGTTTGTGTCTGTATATCAAAGAGCGGTTTTGTAGAGTAAAACAAAATATGAAAGATAATCATTAAAATGTCAGACAAACCATTTACCGATAATTACGAAAGTTACAGGCTGAATAATTTGGATCGCAAGTCGAAACATTTTAATGTTACTTTTAATGTATTCAACTTCAAAAAAGTTCATTTTAAATAGTTTATGATTAGCAACAAATTTATAAAAAAAAAAAATGAATAAACCTGATTTTTATGATTAGCAACAAATTTATAAAAAAAAAAAATGAATAAACCTACTTAAAAATGCCTCAACGCGATGTTGGGAAAGTAGGTGCCACAACATCATCCACATCGTCATCACGTTCATCCTTTTAGTCTGCTTTTTCCTGATTCTGTATTTATTATTTTTAATTGTCTATTTTTAAAATATATAAAATAAAATAAAATTCACAATATTTAGACCATTAATTTAAAATAATCTCAAAATTTCTAGTGCAGTTTTCAAGCTTCTTGATGGCGTTATAACGTTATCTACACATTTGGGCTGTTTAAACGTTTTACTTTTTCATTATCTGGTGGAAAAAAAACTGGAGAACATTTCTGAAAATATCAAAAGGGCAAACGATTTGGAATGTGCAGTGGAAAACATTTAAATAGATTTCAAGACTGGAAAAACTGGCTGCCTTGAAATTTTGTATGTTGGTACTGTAAAGTTTTTGGGTACGGCGGAGAATGTGGACATGCTTTCACCTTGCCCCCTCAGAAAAAGGGGAAGAATTTTAAAAAATTTGGAAAAATTTGTCAGATTTCAAGACTTAAAAGATAATTTTCTTGAAATTTTGTATGCAACGACTTTCGGATACATGCTTTTAACCGCCTGTCAGTACGTGACGGGCTAATGTCCTAGTAGTTAAGGTTGCCTAGTCCTGTTACGCTATTACGCAGAGACCAAGTTCAAATGCGACATAAAGATCCCCACATATCACATACACTGTATACGGTGCGTCGTTTAACACGTATTCACGCACGCAGGCTGTTTGCGTGTTGTTGATTCCTCTGGACTTTGAATGAGTGCGAGAGACATTTAACCTGCATAGTCTTAAAACTGTTATTTATAAGTCTATATATAAAGATGATAGGAGAATATAGAAGAGAGTTTTGCAGAAACCATTTTAAAATAATTTACGTAACAAATCAATGAAACAAAATTATCAACTTGAATTGAATCAAGTTATCAATTTTAAATTATTTTATTTAATTTATAATGGAAAGAAATTTTTAAAATATTTGCTTACTTCATTTTCTGCCAAAATTATAACTTTGTTTTTTCAATATACTTTGAAATTTGTTCTAACATGTGTTAGTACTGAAAGAATTGATTAATAAATAACAAAATAAAAAAAAAATTTGTAAAGTAGATAATAATAAAATAAAATATATTAATTTATCACTCTATTTAAATATAATAATAGATTAAATTAATCATATAAAATTTTAATAATTTTATATAAACAAAATTAAATAATAACAATAATTAATATTATTAATTAATAATACAATTTACAATAAAATAAATTATATAAATTATTAAATTAATAATTAAACTAAATTACATAAATTTAATATTTTTGTTAAAAAAAAGAAATTGTTGAAACATTTTTTTTACATTTTCCAAAAAAAATTAAAAATTTAAAAAATTATAACGAAAAAACTAATTGAGTTAGCGCTGCGGCAGGTGAGTTGTGCTGTGATTTTTTTTAACAGGTGTGCAGAACTTTTGGGTTTTATATCGAAAGTCTAGGGAATTTCCAGAAGTTATTTTGAAATAAACAGGGTTGTGCATATTATTGTAAAATTTATAGATGTTATTAACGCCTCGAACAGCTTAGCCGCGGGATGAACATTAGGCAAACACACACATACACACACATACACCAATATGCAAACACACACAAACAAACACACACATACACCCATAAAAATTTGAAATTGCTGCTGAAACTTTTTTCAAATCAAAATTAAATTAATTATAATTAATTGCTAACCATAAACATCATGTTAAGCTATGAAAGAAATTCACACATTCGTAACAATTGTAGAGAATTTTGTTAATTTTTCAACTTGGTGCTGTATAAAGCTGTTAACGAAACCCGTGCAAATTAAGCGCCTCATAGAGCATTCACCAGTCAGAGGTTATCAGCCAAAAAAGACATTACGATGAGTGGTGGGAATGTTTGCAGTGACGCTTCCAGAACTTTACGGTGGGTATGATTTTCAAAATTTCTAAGTCGATGACTTTTTTTCAAACTCCCGTGATCCTCCATCAGATACCTACCGGTTTAATTTAGAAAGTACTACAAAATTTTGGCGCTACATATTTTACAGAATCTTAAATATGTTTCTTTTATAGTCTGACCTATAGATCCCCCACTGAATGTTTGCTCTCCTGATGTCGTTGGTTTTTGCATTTTTCGGGTAGAATTAGATATATCCGATAAACATGGGTTTATTTACACTAAAAGAGCATAATCTACCCGTTAGGTGGCTTGATTTGTATACATTATTTTAATTTTGGTTGAAAATCCAGTTCTTCTTATAAAATTTTTATTAGTAAGTGTGAAAAAATAACTTGAATTGACATAATTAAAACTATAATATTTATAACAAGAATTGATTTGCTGTTGATTCCGAAGTGTTTGAAGAAGTTTCTGAAAGAAACTTGACAATTATCTATGTTTTATAATTTTTGAAATGCGCCTTTGATCAAAATTTCATTTCGCGGCTTATTTGCCGACGGGAAGAAAACGAGAAAATTGCTGAACTTTCCTGAAAACGAGCACCGCTGATGGTTTTACTGCATCACATTGTAACTTGTAAGCCTGTAGCTCTTGATGTTTGAGAGAACACCGAACAAGGAAGAGCAGTGAGCGGGAGAAGAAAAGAATAACATTCGTCCGGATAGACTGAAAACGTGTTTTGTCCCTACCGGGGACACATCAGCACCCAGAACACCTGCCAGATTAGTTATCGCAGTTTGTTAAAAAGCCCGCATAAATCATCTCGTTAGTTTGTGGTGTTTTATTTATTAGTCTTTTAGTCGCTAGGATTTTCAATCCGACAAGCCTGACTCGATGGGTTGTTTCACGGTTATTGCTTGTGGGAAAGAATTTTTTTTTAAGTTGTGCGGTACGGAATTTTTTTTTGGTTTGGGCATGCCTAGGCGCTTGGACAACAGCAAGCGATAGTGGGGTGTGGCATGTTTTACGAATAAGATAGAGTAGATACGTTGAATTGAACTGAACGATTATGGTTAATTAGTTGTTTCTGGTGTTTTGAATTGAACGTTATAATATTAATTTGATGTTAACATTTGATTTATGACATTATATAAAAGTTTCTTTTATTGATTTTGAGTTTGTATTTCAAAAGAAGTTTGAAATTAACCCGTCTCGTAGTTTGAATTATTGATTTCGTAAAAAAAAACCTGACATCTGGCGCAGTCGACAGGATATTAAACAGAACTTTGCGTGATCTTTATATGATAAAATAATCTCGGGTAAAAGTCCGTGACAGATTGTGTGAATTAAATATATTAATTTATCAAGCTTAAGTTTAGTAGACTGAATTTGTTTTAGAAATTGGTAAAAATTTACTACCACTAAACGTTTGTGTTATGAAAAAATTGTGAATTTTATGATTTTATTTGAAAAATTTCAATTTGACAGACTGTGTAAAAAAGCAATTTAATTAACATCCATGCGATAAATCATTATCTTTTAAAACAATCGATACAAACTTATGTTATATAAAGCCTACATCAAACCATAGAAAGAAACTTTAATTATTGCAATTTTTAATCTAAAGAATTAAATTTTTTTTAATTTTTTGAAAAAATTGAAAATAAGCTAATCTGCCAAAATGATCAAGTTGTATGCTTTTCTGGCGTTGATGCTCGTTGTGAACGTTATCTTCTCACAAGGTGGTAAGTCATCCAAGTTTTCATTTATATTTTGAAAACTTTTGAAAACTGAAATATTGGAACTTTAATAATTTTCTCAGGTGAAATAGATAAAAGAGGAGCCGATCCTCCCAAGTTTGAGCACGATTTTTTCGAAAAAAGAGGAGTCGATCGAAACAAGTTTAAAGGCGGAATCGGTAAAAGAGAAATCGACCAATACAGGTTTGGTAGTACAATCGGAAAATAATTTAAATACATCTTCCCCCAGATGACTTGGCTAATTTTATTAATGAACTTTGAAATTTCAACTTTTATTAAATATACTATGGTTAATTTTAAAGAATCAACCTGATGATGACATAATTACAGTCATAAAACTTATTTAAAAAAAAAACAATGATTTGGATTTTAGATTGAAAATTTCTACAATATTTTTTAATAAAATTTGAAAATGCTTGTTCCCCATTGTGCCAATTCAAACAAAAAATGTTAAAAACAGGTTTAGTTACAATTTGTACTCAGTGATTCGTTAAAAGCGTTTTCGTTTATTACATTTAAACAACAATAATATTAATTATTATCACCAGTTTCTTTACGTTATCACGATCTCAGATACATCATGAAATTACGAATGTAACAAGTTGAGTAAATACGATTCAGTTTTCATTAAACACGTCTGTTTTAAGTTCAATTCATGGTTTCCTCCTATAGATTCAACATCAGAGGCGGGTCTAGGGCGGCCATCCCGGTTGTGGACAGTGTTATGAAAAGTCAGTAAAATTTACTTTTTAGCCTGGATAACACCGTTTTTAAGTAAAAAGTGCACCGAAATTGGCATGATAAGCAAAAAAAAAAACAAAAATTTGATTAATTCCTTGGCCCTCCTCAGTCAAATTTCAACATTTGTCAAATTTTTGCTCCTCCCGTCAAGATCCGCCACTGTACAATTGAAAATCGATATTTTATTTTTAGGAAATTAAGTTGATACGTAGTGTCGGGCAACGAATTAATTAGCATGTAGTCGAGAGATTACTTTCTAAAGCTTATCACATTTATTTATTGATTCATTAATTCATTCGTTCGTTCGTTCGTTCATTCGTTCGTTCGTTCATTCATACGTTCGTTCGTTCGTTCATTTATTCATTCGTTCGTTCGTTCATTCACTCACTCATTTATTCATTCATCATTTAATCATTCACTACATTATTATTATTGTCATTACCATCATTATTGAACTAAACCTGTAATTATGATATAGATTGTTCGTTTTAAGACAGCTCAATGAGTTTGAAAAGAACATCTTTGGATAGAAATACAATTTCACTTTATTTTATTTATTTATTTCACAACTGACCAGAGGACCACACAGGCCACTTGCCAGGTCAGAAAAACTCGGTTTATAAATTCCTCAAATCTTTTATGGAAAGAATTATCAATGAAATAGATAGATTCGGTATTAAAATCAAAAGAAATTTTTCACGATTACTTTACAGTTCAAAAAATTGAAACATTTTTTTTCTGTCTAATTTCGAACAATGCTCATGCACCCTAACCCTTGAAAGCTTCTCTGGCCGACACACTCCATAATTTGTATTTGGTTCATTTCTAATACATTTGTATAATCTGCAAGCAATTACATTACAATGAATAAAAATAATTAATGATACTATAAACTTTCAAGTATTCAACCACCATTGTTCTTTTTTTCATATTTTTAGATCAATTTGATCAGAAATTTATTTATTTATTTATTTATATACGAACATAAACAACAGCAAAGTCTCCCTTTGTGGAAAATTTTAAATCGCTAAAAAACGATTATTCTAAATATTCAGCACAGATTAGCGCTTCAATTAAACGCATGAACCAACAAAGAACATTAATTATTTGCTTCACTTATCATCGCTCCCAAGACATAGAACAAAGATACGCCGGCCGGCATCTGTATATCTGCGTTATAGACTCTCTACATACGTGCCAGAGAGGCAGCTTCATAAATTTTAGTCCAACTCCTTCCGAATTTTTCCCCCAAGCTCCATTGTTTACTTTGTTGTTTTTCATTTCGAATTTTATGTCCTATAAATTATTGGCATGAATAATTGCAAAGAACACTTTGTTATGTTAAGTATGTAAATATTACTTTTCTTCTATGGAAGTAATTATAAAAACTAAAAAAGAAAAACAAACCGTGTGATGTGCATTCATATTAATGTTCATAACACTAGAAAGTGTATGTTCAGTATAAAGATTATCATTTTGAAACTGTCAAATGAATTCCGGTATAAACAATTCGGATGATTGAATGTTTGCTATTTGTTTGCGATGTTTGCTTGTAGGAGAACATACGGTGTTTGTTTGCAGGTGAACATTCATTGATTTTAGTTTATCACGTGGTAATTGTTTGTGTTTGAAGCTGCAAGGTTCTTATTTGATGCTATATTCGAATATTCTTTGGAGACCATTTAATATCGCCTACTTCAAAAACGCCGGTAAATACAAAGATTCTAAATACATTAGAGACTTAACACCATATATATGAGAGCGGACGCACACATCTGCATAGATAACCAACAAATCCGCAAAGCCTAGGCAAGCGAAAACGCGGCAAGTTTATTATCTCAGTTTCAAAGTTCTATGAATCCTTTCAAGTGAGCGATAATATAAAAATAAAGATATGAAAAAACGTTGTAGCAAATTTCAAAATAATTTGTCAAAAACTTAATTTATTTAATTCTGCGTTTTTTAATCTATGGACATTATAATACAAAAATTTTTTCTTATTTATTTATTTATTACTAATATGAGAATTTCAAAACAAAGAAAAAGAGAATGAATTATATATTTGGAGATAAATTTGTTATCAAAAATAGAAAGAATTCATCTGTAAAGTAAGAAATGTAATTAATCAGGCGCGAAGTTATGCGTATGGTGTGGGGAGGCAATATCATTCAGGCTGTCCATCATTTTGTTGCTGCTGGTGACGTCATTTCGTTGTTGCTGTTGATGCTAGTTTATGGCGAGTGATGTCATATTATGCCTTTCCTTCTGATGATGTTGTTCGTTATCTTTGTTAATAATATTTTATGTTGATTTGTTGCAATTTTTTAATATATAGACAGTTGATGATGTTAATGGGATATTCAAATATTTGTAAATTTTGTAGATGTCATTTTTTGATGTTGTTGATTTGTGTTACCGCATCTTCAATAAGATTTTTTAATTTAATTTTTTAATGTTGATGGTTTGTGTTTCCGTATCTTCAAGACCTTTAAATGGTTATTTATGATGAGAAACAGTGCCGCATTGAACGGTATTTCAGTTCAAAAAATCTGAACAGCATAGAATTTGTTAATGTTTGTTGATTGCATTAATTAGCTACAAATACATTAACATATTCCCACGCGTTTATAATTATCTGATAATTCTCAGCAGCAACAATCGAATATTTAAATATAAACAAACAGACAAGCGAAGAAACAAAACAAAAATAAAACAAACAAAGCAAACAAGCAAAACGAATAAACAAAACGAACAACCAAAACGAACAACCAAAACAAACAAACCAAACAAACAAACAAAACAAACAAACATAACAAACAAACAAACAAAACAAACAAACCAAACAAACAAACAAAACAAACAAACAAACAAACAAAACAAAACAAACAAACAAAACAAACAAACAAAACGAACAAGCAGTAATGCCATCATTGTGATGATAAAAATATTTGAATCTATCTTCAATGAAAGCAAAACATTAACAAATTATTGGCAAGAGCGAAACCCTCAACTACATTATGTTCATCGACCTCTTTACTATTTTATTGAAATAAAATTTACAATGGTACTAGAAACAAACACACATTAACACAAACAAACATACAAACAAACAATTAAACTAACACATAAACAAGCACATAAACAAAAAACACATAAAAGAACATCACTGACAACATTACCATCTGGAAAACATTAACTACAGCAAACAGGCAAAACAACATAACAACAACAGCAACAATAATAATAAACAATACCACAAAAGTAACAACAACACAACAACAGAACAACAACACATCAACAACAAACAACAACAACTCAAAAACAATACAACAACAACAGAAGAACACAACAACAACACATCAACAACAAACAACAACAACTCAAAAACAATACAACAACAACAGAACCACAACTACAACAAAACAACAACAACAACAACATCGACCGCAAAGTATTACCGCGTAATATCGCTCAACTCTGTAAGTCGTCTCCAGAGGCTGATGAGCGTTCTTATCAGTCTTCTACGCAACCGGAAGTGAGACAACAGCAAATAAGCCCATCTCTCTTCTGCATCTATGCCCGCCATTTCTTTATTTACATTTCTTTTATTTTTATGTCTATGGAGTTGAATCCACATTTTTTGTTTATTATCTCAAGTATAGGAGGTAGTTTTAATATTTTATTGGTTTGTTTTATCTGAAAGATTGCATTCGGTGTCGATTTGTTGTTTGTTGTTGTTTGTTGATGAATTTGTTGTTGTTGTTTGTTGATGGATTTGCTGTTGTTGTTTGTTGATGAATTTGTTGTTTGTTGACGAATTTGTTGTGGTTGTTTGTTGATGAATTTGTTGTTGTTTGTTGATAATGTTGTTTGTTGATGAATTTGTTGTTGTTGTTGTTTGTCGATAATGTTGTTATTGTTGATGTGGTTGTTGATGATGTTGTTGTTGTTACTGATGTTGTAGCAGATAAAGTTATTTTAGTTGCTGGTCCTGTCTCTAATGGTTGAAATGTTAGGACCCAGATGCGTTTAATGTAACATGATTCATATCTACCGTGCAATGTTGCATAGATATATAAACTAACATGTATTCTCTAAGAACACGTGACACTCAATAAATGCTTATGCCCTCTTAAATATCTATGCCCTCTTAAGTATCTATGGCCTGGTTGTCATGGTGATGCTTGCAGTTTAATGTTTTCTCATTTGTTTGTGTGACAACGTCAGTGAAGTTCAAGAGGTGTGCTGTTGTGTGTGTTTGTGTGTGTTTGTGTGCGTATGTGTGTGAGTGTATTGTGTGCGTATGTGTGAGTGTATTGTGTGTTTGTGTGTGTGTGTGTGTTTTGTAAGAGATATCTCTATTTTGGAAGAAATTTTTAAGAATCTCCATTTTGATCTTGTTGTGGCGTTCTAGTAGGTCTCATTGCTTTTCATAATCATCTGACCGTTGTCCAGTGGTTTGAATTTATATTTGAATGATTGAAATTTTTATAACAAATGGAAGTTTTCATGTACAATTGTCACAAATTCAGACACGTTATTAACCGCGAGCTCACAAACTTATTCAAAGGGATGATGTGTGAACGTGTGAACAGACACGTACTTCTTATATAAACACGTACAAACAAAATCATTCATCCATCAAACACATGCACACATGTATGTAAACATTTCAATCCAAAACTGCGTGTATGAACATAAAAAAAATACAAACAAAAACATACAAACGAAAACGTACAAGTAAAAACACATACAAGCAAACATACAAACAGTACATACAAACTCAAATACATAGAAAGGAACAGCAGTACGTTACATGAAGATGAGGATTATTGGTTGGTAAGCATAGACGCCTCCCGCGTGTTTCCATCCTTACCTTTTTAAAGCTGTCTGTTTGTCTGTGTGCTGGTTGGTTTCATGCAGTTTTTCAAGTTTGTTTAGGTTTGTTTGTTCATTTGTTTGTTCGTTTAGTTGTTTGTTCGTTTGTTTGTTTGTTTTGTTCGTTTGGCTGTTTGTTTTGTTCGTTTGGCTGTTTGTTTTGTTTGTTTGGTTGTTTGCTGTGTTCGTTTGGTTGTTTGTTGTGTTCGTTTGGCTGTTTGTTGTGTTCGTTTGGTTGTTTGTTGTGTTTGTTTGGCTGTTTGTTTTGTTTGTTTGCTTGTTCGTTTGCAGGTGCGTATGTTTGTGTGTATGTACGTACGATGTTAGCTGCACATGATGCAGATATAGATGAGTGTTTGAATGGTGTATTCCCTATTTCATTAAAAACTTACACTTTCTTATTACTGTGAACTTGTGTGCATGTTTTGTTGATATCTTGAATGACAATATCTGCAAACTATTTTAAATATTACAATATGATAGAGTAACATACAAGCAAATGTTTTATAAAGTTAAACCGACCTAAACAAAACCAACGAAGCATACAAGCAATCTATTAAACAAGTTAAACAAACGAACAAATTATCTGATGTTCATGATGACCTCTAGTGTACAAATGCATCAGAAGGTCATCTGTGTGTATATATGTGTGTGTGTGTGTGTGTGTGTGTGTGTGTGTATGTGTGTGTGTGTAGGCGTACTACGTATGCAATGACGAACGAGTTGTGGTATGTTTAAGATGCAGCGCGATACATTTGTGTATTTATGTTTGTATTTTATACAGATTTGAAGGTCTTTGTTTTTTTGTATTTGCTTGTGTAGATTTGTGTTTAATTAGTTTGTTTGTA